GAAGCTATCTTTTTTTTTTTTAAAAAAAAATAAATTCCAGAACAGCAAGTTAAATTTTTCTGCTAAAATCTAGGCTTTGCTTCAGTTTTAAGAGCAAGCTACTTAAGAAGAAAATAATAAAATTTTACAAAGTGCTTTGTGTTTATTTCAGTCGTCTTTATGTGACCTTTGTAGGTCACAAATCACCACACCGACCTGTATCTTGTTAACGCAGTAGCAGGAAGAATGACAGTAAGGGAGAATTTTGGCTACTCGTGCCCTCCACTCCCCTGGGAGCCCTCGGAGCCAGGCTGGGCAAGTCTCTGCTCCGTCCTGCTGCACAGGGGCTTCTCACAAGGCACGCTGCTGTCCTTGCTGCACCGAGATCACAAAGTCATCTGGTTTTCCAGTAGTTTGGCAAACTCAAACACCTGTGGCAAGTGGCTGCCTCCAATGCAGCTTCTGAATGAAGGCAGCTACTCCTATGCCTTCGTCAGCTATCCGAAGACCTGATTCTGAAGAGTTTTATGCACAGGGACAACATTTCAACTTTAGAATTTAAGAAATAAATAAGAGCTAAGCTGTATTTCAAAGCAAGAGGTGCATTTTTACACCCTACCTATGCTGTCTAGACATTTTAGATCCCTTACGACACTTTGTCACTCGATGCTGCTAGGAAGACAGGTTTCACTGGAACATAAAACATACCTGCAAGGATTTTTGCTTTTTTTTCTTTTGCCGTGATGGAATTTAGAGATCTTAGTTGAGACCAGGGCACTTTGATTAGGAGGTGGAGAGAAGAAAGAAAGGTAGGTTTGGAATCCAGTCTTAAGAAAACACTGTAGTCTGAAATGTACTCCAAGCTTAAACAACAAGAGCCCATACCAACCCTCCACTGACCTGGTCAAACAGCTGTTTGCCTGTGGTGTTTGGCTGGATGGCAAACTCCAGCTCTGCATCCATAGTAACAACTCGAACATTGATCTAAGGAGAAAAACAAAAAGCATTGTTTAAGATGTATTGAAAGCTATTTCTCAGTGTTAACACAGCACGTTGTGTACAATACAGTCTCCACGCTTCGATGCACTACCGTAACCTCTATAATACCCACACTTAAGCCCCAATTAGATTTGTGTTGTTATCACACCAGCAAACTTAATTGGGGCACTGACTTTGCTGGCTTCTCCCGATTGCTCTGCAGGTTTTCCTACTCAACACAGGACTGGACGGAGCCGCTGGTTAAATGAGAGGGCATTTCAGAGTTGACCATTTCCAGGCCCAAACCCCCGTGGAGCAAGAGCTCCCGTGAGCGCACAGCACAGCTGCCTGCAGGCCACCACCTGGATTACGAAAGGCCCTAATGACTAAATTAAATTTAAGATTTATAATTTAACTTCCATTTATGTTAGAGCTGGAATTAATCTGAGGTTTTAAAGGCAAAAGGCTGCAGATTATTCTTACGAAGCAAATCGGCAATAACCCGATAAACATTCATTCTTTCCCTCATAAAAATCCACTCGGCACATAAACCCAGCAGTTATGGGTACTGAACGATACTGCAGGGCAAGGGTTCACCGAGCTATCGCTGTTCGGGAAGAAACGACACAACCAGATTTACTGCAATGGCAGAAGTAGAGTGCAAGACAGAGGTTACTGTTGTATGCAGAAGGCAAGAGTGTTTAATGGCTAGAAAAAGTCTATTAGCAGTTAATCAGGAGGCAAAAGCAGCACCTAAGCTTGCAGGGAGTAGCATAAGGACCAGCAAAATGGCAAATCGGGAAAGGATTATCTCCAACTGCTCCGACTACAGGAGACCACGCTGCTTGCAATATTATACTATGTCTCAAAAAAACCCCAACCACCCCAAACCAAATAAAAAAGCCCCCAAACTGGGATGATCATGCAGTATAGATCTACTAACAAGTTAGATTTGTAGCTTGGTATTTTAAAGGAAAGAGAAGAAAAAGCGGGCATGTAAACACAAGGCCAGACAACAGGTAAGCTACAGGCAGGTAAGATTTCATGACAGTTTCCCAACATTTTATAAATGTCACCTTACAGAAAGCCAGAGCTAACAGACCAGGAGAGCCTCCCTACTACAAAGTCTTGTTTAATTATGCATATTTAAACTCTAGGATAAATGTCAGGTAAAACAATGTTACAGTTAACACAGAACTGTGAATAAAACAAGGTACCTCTGCTAGTTTTAGTCAGATGTATTAGAAATTTTTGCATGCCTTTTTTGGTGAGCTATAAAGGCATGAAGTGTCTCTTAGCCTTTATAAAGCTGTTTCTTTCTCCTGCTCTCTCCCAGGCGAGAGGAGCCTCCTATAGAAAAATGACTGAAGGTGGTTCCCAAGTCAAGGAACCCCAGAACTGAACCAGAGACGACTGCTTAGGTGCCGTATCACTTCCAAGCTGTATTTTTAAAGCAGTGTCCTTTCAATTAGGATTTAAAAAAAAAAAAAAAAAAAATAAAATTCCTAAATGCAACAAGAAAGAACAAGCAAGAAAAGTTTTCCAAGAGCTCCTTTTCCCAGCTGTAGGATTTGCAATCCATGATGGGGCATGGAAATATGTTTAAGGGTTTCTTCCTGTGCCTTAAGAACCAAAGGTTTCCCAAACAGTGTTTCCAGTGTAGGAAGGGGGGGAAGTTGAGATACCAAATTCGCAGGAACAGCAAGGCCGCAATTTGAAGATGTGACCTTAAAAAGCTCTTGTTGCTTAATCCCTTCTCAACAATAAATCCCTAATCATATTCTAATCCCTTTCTACCCCCTTCAAGAAAATATATGCTCGTAATCCGCAGTTTTGTATGGTGCAAGTAATTTCTACTTCTGGCTGAAACACCACAGTGGGCGTAAAACAAATATCACTTTACAAGCTAAAGAGCTTGAAAGGATGTGCTTCGCACTCCTTACCAAAAAACCTGCAGGATGTTGGCTGAGCACAGAATTCCAGCTGGTACCAGTACGTTCGTCTTTATCTCCTTAGTGGTTATTTGCTAGTAAAAAAAGGTAAACTCCCTAAGTCCAGGCAAATATCCTGTATTACTCCAGCCCTAAAAGACCCTTCTAGACACAGCCCCCATCCTAAAGGACCAGCTACATACTGAGCTATTTAGCACTAAAGCCATCTACCTGCTACATCTTTTAAGAATTATTTTAGTATTAAGACCAAAAACTGAAGTCATCTGCTTTCCACTTCAATCATTTAAAGCCACACACATGCAGGGACGTGACTACTTGGTTATCCAAAAAAGCTTTCAAGGACACTTGGGATGTGTGGTAAAGGTTAATTTCTGCGTTCGTAAAGGGCTGAAGAACCAGCAGGGTAACGAGGAATTCCCTGGTGTGCCCTCAGACAAGCTGCTAGCCACCACAGGCAGAGCAAGAAGAGACAGGGCATCAAGCAGTTGTCACTTCAATGTCACTTGATGACTGCCTGAGAAAGTCCTTCGAGTCTCCTTCCGGCCACTTGTCATCTCCAAGCCTTAGCCTTGATTTCAAGAATAACATAATGGTTTTAACAGCGTTTCTAAACAGATGTCCCACAACCACTGGTAGTGGTACAAGGTAGGTAGAAGCTGGTAATGAAGCCGACAAACAGAGCTTAACCCACTTGAAACCCTGGTTTAGACTGTCTGATGAAACCTTGATCTCTGTTAGGCGGAGAGACGATCAGCTTGGCATTCACCTCAGACCCCATGAAACTCTCCATGGCGCCAAAACGATTAAATGAAAGCCCAAGGCGCTAACCAATCCAAGGTATTGCTGGGGAGGAAGACGGGGAACAACTCGGACTAATCTCTATCAGCAACAAAAAGAGCAAGACAAAGTTAAAACAACTTTTACAAGTGAAGTCCTGCCTACCGTGAGTAGGCAAGGTAGGTCATTTGTAAGACCCTACCAAATCCTGGCAGCACTCCAGGACAAAACTGAAACCGTAACAAAAAGAAAGAGTTTTTAATTGCTTCAGAACACAGGTGCATGGAGGGAGGGAGAAGAGTACATGGCTGTTATACATGAAATAAGGTTTTTTAAATGCACATAGTGTGCTAAAAATCCTAGACAGTAAGATGTAACTTCCTTCTCAGTAGGCCAACGCCATAACACTTTATGATTATACTTTTATGTCTGAGACTAACATACTCAAAATGAATGACAAATAGGGCCTTGGAAGGTTTGCTTCTGTGTACGAAAACATTACAGAACACAAGGTTTTCCTCCTCCTCTGTCTAAGGATGCATAAAATTGCTAACAGATTTGACCCAGAGGGGAAAAAACGTGCTGATGAAAAGGCAGTGCTGTTTGCATTAAAAGGAAAAAAAGCTCCATGAACCGTAAGAGCCAACAGAAACCAAAGAACTTACTACCCCAAATGACTGAACACTAATTCCACGACTTCAGACTGTTCAGGGTGGACTGTAACATGTTACCTACATTTCCAACTGGACAACAGAGTGGAAGTAGGATGAAAGATGGAACGGGAGAGAACTTCAGGTTATAGTTTAAACAAGTGTAACGCTACGGAAAGTTCTTGTACAAGAAGTTACAGTAGTTAGAATGGGGTTTTCCTTGCCTCAGAAATGCCCTCAAGTGATGCATTTGTTCTTTTGTTGTTGTTGTTGGGTGGGTTTTTTGGTTTTTTGGGGGGGTTTTGTGTGTTGTTTTCTTGTTTTGTTAAGACAACTTCTCTTCTAACGCTAAGTCAGTAGATCAACCTACGGGAGACTGCAGCCTTTCAGAGACCATGCACCATACAGGATCTAACTTAGAAAATTAAAGTGCCATTTGAAAAACATCCAAAAAACATTGCCTCTTAAGGAGAGCAACACATTGCCAACCAGCTGAGCGGCAACATCTTCTCTGTGTAAGATCCAAGACCTAGTTAGGAACCCAAGTGACCTTGTCTCTTCAATCCCTTCCTCTCATAAACGCCAAGTTTCCAGGTGTGTTGGACACTATGGATGCACAGGTAGTTTCTCTCTAAAGTCTGACTCTTGAGCTACAGCCTGTTGGTCCAGAATCTGTCTCTGGCTGCAGGCAACATGGTATCTTTGAAGTTAATCACCACCCTCCTGATACTGCAACTCCACTGCAAAACATCCTACACTGAAGGGGAAAAGGAAGGCAGAACAGGAAAAAAACCCCACAGCCCTCACACACAGTAAGACATCATGGATGTTTTGCATCCTGCTGCATCAAATCTAATACCCTTTACGTTCACTTGCATAATAAAATAGTTCAGTGAAGCCAATGTTGTGCAAGTCGTTTAAAATACCAGACAATTTATTTCCAGTGAATACACAAGATAAAGGGCAGTAAATACCAACTTTTACCCATACACACAAGACAAATCAGTACTTAACGTGTTGTGTATCACTATCATTATGCAGCTCTAAATGCCTCAGACAATGCTCAGGAATGTTTTCTTCCTCTTTCCAAGGAGGGATAAAGACCAGAGTCTCCTAAATAGCAGGTTTACAAGTGCAAACGCTAGTGAAGTATCTTTCCAAGTGGTGGCAATTACCAGTACCATAGTGGAGAAACCCAGACAGGGATGCCTTCTTGCTGCAGTCACTGCATGCCTGGAAATCCCAGGCAAGTAACTCGTACAGGTAAGCAGATCAACCGCATTCTGAAGTGCTGTACCTGCACAGCACATACTGTTAAGGTTTCTTGCACGTATGCAAACTGACCATATAACACAACTGACACGTTCCTTCAGCGCAACATGCCTTAACGACAAATAAGAGAAAGCAGTGGTATTAAGAATGCTATTAAGAAAGCGGTAATATTAAGCTTGCATCCTCACTTCTGCAGGTCTACTCTTCCACCACACAAGCAACAACTGCTATTGTATTTGCAATAAATAACAGACAAGCTTTTTGCCCCAAGTTGCAACGTATCTGCACGGACAAAATAATCTCATTTCAACCTTAGCAGCCAAACGTGTTCATAGACACATTAGGTAAC